CCGCTCCGGCCCGCGACCGAGTGGCCGCCGCCGCCACGCGCTCCCCGCCCGAGCCCGTTGCCATGATCGCCCCGGTTCCCAGTGACAGGGACAGTCGCCGCCTCGGACGGGGCCCGGGAAGGGACAATCGCCGACCGAGCCCCTGCGACCTCATAGGCGGCTGGCGCTCACGTGACCGGGGCTGTCACAGAGGCGGCGGCGGCCATCTTGGAAGTGGGCAAGCGCGGCGCGGCCCCGCCCACCAGACCGGGTCTGGGTTTGGGAGCAGCTCAGTGCTTGGCAGGGACTAGAAGCAGGTGAGACCCGACGCTGAGCGCGGGGGCGGGGGGGGGGGGGGGGGGGGGGGGGGGGGGGGGGGGGGGGGGGGGGGGGAGGGGGGTGGAGGCTGACGAGAGGAGTGACACCTGTTTCAAATAAGAGACTCAGTTTCCCCAGCCCCACATGCACAGGCTGGACAACTCTTTTTTTCTCTTCTTTTGTTTTTGTTTTTGCTTTTGTCGGTCATGGGGCTTGAACTCAGAGCCTGGGTGTTGTAACCACTTTGAGCCACAGCACTATTTCCGGTTTTCTAGGGGTTTATTGGAGATAAGAGTCTCATGGCCTTTCCTGCCCGGGCTGGCTTCGAACTGCGATCCTCAGATCTCAGCCTCCTGAGTAGCTAGGATTGCAGGCGTGAGCCACCAGCGTCCGGCCTGGGACAGCTCTTGGGGAACTTGCTCAGTCTGGTGATGGCTGTTCGTGGTGCGGGCCCTGGGAAGCAGCAGGAGTTCCGTGGATGGGATGGGAGAAGAGGGGGGGGGGCATCTCTGGGCCTGGGAGAAACCCCAGATGGAGTGGGGTGAAGCCTTCCTCTGTTCCTAGGGAATACGCCCACGGAGTGGAGTGGAGACGCCTTACAGACTCCCAGTGGAATCAAGGACATCAACTCCTGTTTTGTTTTGTTTCCTTATTGTTACTTTATTGTAGTATGAGATAAGAAAGTTATTTTTTTAATCAAATCTTTTCTTTTTCTACCTGGCAACTCCAACTTCGGTTTCTAGGGAAAATAGTAATGTTTTTTGACTGTGAGTTCTTTGGAGTCAAAGACTTATTTTGTTTTTTGAATGTTTCCCGGCTTCTTCTCAGCAAATGTTCAATTGGTTGTTGAACTTAAAAACAAACCAGGATTCTACCTCTCAGGAAGAAAAATAACAAAATGACTTCTCATAAAGAATTTAGTTTGGGTTGTTTTATTTTTAATACATCTTGAGGGCTGGGAATGTGGCTTAGTGGTAGAGTGCTTGCCTAGCATGCATGAAGCCTAGGTTCAATTCTTCAGCACCACATAAATAGAAAAAGCCAGAAGTGGTGCTGTGGCTCAAGCGGTAGAGCAAAAGAAACTCAGGGACAGTGCTCGGGCCCTGAATTCAAGCCCCAGGACTGGCAAAAAAAAAAAATGTCTTGAATCTGCTCTTAATGCAAATTTAGTATTTTTAGCTACTTTTATTGCACAGTTCAGTGGCTTTCAGTTACACACCCACATAATTACACAAACACCACCACCATCCAGCTCCAGAACTTCTTTTCCTCCTGCTGAAATGTGTCAATGAAATAACAACTCCTAATTATCCCTCCTCCCATCCCAGCTCCTGGAAACCACTGCTCTATTTTCTTCCTTGATGAATTTATCTTCTCTAAATATCTCATATAACTGCAATCTTATGAGACTTGCCCTTTTGTGTCTGGCTTATGTCATTTATTATAATGTCTTCTAAATTCTTCCATGTTCCAGAAGATGACAAAATTTCACTCCCCTTTAAGGTTACTACTATTCTATTGTAGTCAAAGACCTTATTTATCCATTCAGCTGCCCTGGGACATTTGAGTTGTCTACACCTCTTAGCTATTGTGGATGATGCTGTCATTAACATTGTTGCCCATACATCTCCTTGAGCCTCTGCTTTCACTTCTTGTGGGCTGCAGTGCATTTTTTTAATGCTAATACAATGCACCTGAAGGAATCACATTTGTTTTGGTTTTGCTCATGTTTTCAGCAAATGGAGTTGAAAAGAGCACTGGAAACTGACCCCGGTGACTTGTGGCTGCACTAATGAACTCTGTGAAAGGAACATAGAAGTTCTAGAAGGAAGTGGTTCCACTTCCTCTCTTGTCTTTATAAGGCTTCTTGTTGCTATACTTGGCTCAGGATCTCACTTGGCGAATAAGATGCCATAGCGTGGAGAGGTCCAGGCCTCCTTTGAAGCAGCGATGTGTACTCTCTTCCCTGGGAGACCACGTGACAGTAGTTCAATGTTTCTTTCATGTCTGGTCATCTGACCACCTACACCAGCTAGTGCTTATTTAGCATGCAGGCTTAGGAACACCAACCCAGACACTTGGATGCAAAATACAATCTAAGACTCAAAGCGTTCAATGAGTTCCTGGGTGGATTCTGAGGCAGCTAGGATCAAAGTTCCACTGAGCCTCCCAACACCCTTTGGAGCTGTCCGTGGTACCAAAAAGAAGCCCTCACTGACCCCTCCTATACTCCCTCCGACACCTTCTTCCCCAAATCCGGTCTCTCCTGGTGTCCTTAGCTTAAGTCAATAGCATTGTCTTCATTCAGCCAAATCTTACCTTCTCCCTGACTTTGTAAAACCAGCCTGCCACTCAGGTTTTACATGGAAACATGGCTCCCTCTCTCCTTTCTTACCCTTTCCTCTTATCACAACCCTTCGCCCGTCTTCCTTTCTTCAGTTTCCATCATATCTATATCTGCTTTCCATATGAAGCCAAACTTTTCACTTGCTGGCTTAGAATCTCCCCCAACTGCCTACCATCTATAAGGCCCCAGCATGTTAATTGTCCTAAAAACCCTTTCCTGATTGCTGTTCCTGACATTGCCCCCCCCCGCCCCTCTGTGCCTTTGTCCATACTATTCCTCCTTACCCTTCTCTGTGTATCTGCCCACAAAGCTTGGGCTCATCTTGGGTGTCTTCTTGCATGAGCGTTTCTCATACCCTCAAGCAGAAATAGCTACACTCTCTTCTCCTCTACTGACATAAGAAATAACCTTCCGCCATGGTCCAACACACTACATAGAAATCGTCTCTGCCTTCCCCATGAGTCTGGGCAAGGAGGAACCTGGTCTGATATATCTCTCTCTCCACCCATCTGTGGAGACCAGAGCACAGTGGTCCCCACAAAGTAGAATGAGTGCATTGATTAATGAGTTCCTTACAGCTTTACTTACCAAGTCTTGGAAAATCATCTCAGTGTTATTTTTATATTACATCCCAAGACCTCTTCTCCCTCAGTGTCTTTGCACATGCCTTTCCCTCCGTCTGGAACATTCTTGCTCTCTACATCTGCCTGCTTCTCTTTCAGTGTTCAGTGTAATTGATCAGAGATACCTCTGATCACTATTACATCAGACCCCTTCCGATGAAATAAGAGAGAAAAACAAGATGAAACATGAAGTACTAGATGAAGCCAAGAGTAAATGGGAGAAAAATGACTTTGAAGTTCAAGGAATGAGGAATTTAGTGTGCATGAGGAAGGCAGGCCAGGCTGTGCATAAGACACAGACTCTAAGCAGACAGAGGAGGAATCAGGCAGTCCTGTGGTGGTTATGGCAGAGGCTGTGGGCAGAGTGCTACAGTCACATGAGGAGTCTGGAATGGGTGGGAGGAGGTGAGCAGAAATCCAGTGCAGGCTTACCCATGAGGGGAGCAACCCAATAAGCCCCACCCATTCAGGCTTTGTCCATCTATCAAGTGGGGATGCGTTTACCTACTGGCTCAAAGGCTCCCAGGGCCCATGGAGGTCCTGTACTGAGAGAGAACACAAGGATAAGGTGCCTTGCGGGTGAGTACAAGGAGGTCATCATTGGTTTCTTCATGAGGATTGGAGCAGCCTGGAAGGATTGAAAGACAAGCCTTGGAGAAAGGGAGAAAGACAGAGAAATCACATGTGAGCTCAATGGTCAGGGCTTTGGACCCCTCTGGAGGGCATCCTGAAGCTTCTCCTTTCAGGAAACCCTAAAATGTGTCCCTAGAAAAATCTCACCCGAAATGGGGGGCTCCTCTAAGAGAAGCATACTGTAGATGCTGAGTAGCAAAAACCAGGTTGGGATGGGGACCAGGATTATTGTCCCCAGAGACACAAGGAGAGGGGGTACAGGAAGCTTTCTTCCCCACCCCCACCCCAACACTGACCACCGCTTAGAGTGAGACTTTTATGTCCTCCTTTCCTTTTATGTCTAACTCACCAGAGTCTAGGTGTCCAGGATAAAGAATGCACTGTTCGTGAAGACCATATGCCTAAGTTCAGTGCCTGGCAAAGAGTTGGCACTCAATAACTTTTCTGAATGAATCAGTGAAAAAAAAATAGTAATAAACCGCCCAGATTGTTAACAGCAAGGAAATAGACACATTATGGCAAATGCTAATCCGTGCCAGCTTTAGCCACAGAGGAAAATGGTGATGATGTCATGCAGAGGGGACTGGCGCAAGCATGGTAATTACAACGCTCAAAAGTGCTCTGCATAAACAGGGCCTGGAAGAATATAGAGATAAATGAGAACAGCTGCGATGCTGGGGACCCGGGGGATGAGATCGTTCTGGAATTTTCCCTCACCATTTTGGCACACTGTAGCAAGCATGTGACTCTTCAGATCCTTGAGCACCAGAAATCTAGCCCGGTTCCAAAGGTGCAAGCTACAGTTGCTGAACAGACCTATAGTAGGCACACCAGACTAAGCATTTTACATACAATGTGTTCTTTTCTCTTCACTGTACCTGAGGGATGAGTGCCTTTATGAATCATATCTACAGATAAGAAAGTTGCTGCTCAGAGAAGTCACTTTCCCAAGCCGCACAGTAGAGGCAAAGATAAGATTCTAATTCAGGGTGATATGTTGCTGCCCCTGATTTCCAACACCCTCCCTCCTATACACTAAGCTCTTTTCTAAAAAAAATACCACAGGTGGTTAAATAGAAGGGAGTCCAGATATATTTCTGCATATAAATATACACTCGCACACACTAGGCCCCAGCTATAAGAAATATTATACTCAGAAAAATC